ATTTATATATCGTTCGAAATATAGTAGAACTTTTAAGCTTAGTTAGAAGTTATTATATAGATATTTAAAAGCTTTAAAGCTTAGAATCTAGAGAACTAGAAGTTTATATCTGATTTAATAATATATATTTAAAAAAATCGTAATTTTAACTTCTTATAAACTTTTATTTCAAACTTAATATTAAATTTGAATTTCAATCTATATTATCTTTTTTAAAATAACTTCAAAATAGAAATGCTTTTCAATATAATTAATTTACTGATTATTATAGTTATTTTTATATTTTTTAATATTGAAATAATCTTTTGATTGAAATAATTATTATAAAATTGAGATGAAAAATCGTAAAAGATCAAAACTATTATATTTCTTTTAAAATATATATTATTAAATTAAATATAGAGCTTAGAATCTAAAGAAGCTATAAAGATTTATATAACTAGAATAGATTTCCTCATTATAGAGTTTGATATTCAAGACTATTCTTTGATTTAAATACTATAATTATTATATAATATTATACTGTTATTTTTAATTATCGTGTAACCTCTAAATCGATCTTTTGGCACTTCCACGTGACAAGGGATTGTGTATGAGCATCGTAACACTTGGGAAACGGAAATGTCTTCTTATGTCTTCATAGACATGCTTGCCTTGCAATTTGTTCTGGTGAGGATCTCGACCATACTCATAATGATCTGAGGATTTGGTTCATCGATGATGATGACCATTTGTGGCATGCTGGATGACCTTTTATTCACCGGAGTGGGCAACATATGGTTTGATACCTGTCTAGGCTCCTCTTCAGTGAGAATCTGCGAGATATCAGGTGTTACCTGCTCCGATGAAGGTGATACTAACTTGGACATTGGGTATGATTCGGAAGAATCTGCACTTCCATCACGGTCCTTCCAAAGTGCTGAGTGAGCATGATTGCTGTAATCAAGTCTTGAATCGAGAGTATGGTCGGACATTAAGCCGCAGGAAACCAGAGAAGACGCGATATTCGGATCTGAAGTAAAGTCCCAATTGAGTGGGGGTAGGTCAGAGTTCGTATTTGCTGAGGTTGATATCATATCCATACCCAGAAACTTAGGGGACTCGTAAGACAAGCCACTTCGGTCACCGCTCGCGAAACTCGTCGGATGCGTAATGTGCGAACTTTCGTCAAAGGTAATGCCAAATTGACCATCGTCGTCGAACATGTCCTGATCAAACGACATCCATCTCAAGCTCGGATCAACTACTCCATCTTCTGTATGAGGAACCTTGGGACTTTCGTTGTTCTGTCTGATCAGTGCAGTATGCCTAACCAATGTACACTTAGTTAGCGGTGCCAACAAACTGAAAGAAATATAGCAAGAAGTCCATTACAACTAACCTATTCTTCAAATTTGCGGTTGAGCGCCTTGGAAATACAACCTTTTTGATGTCCTTCCAACTTGTGCCGAAGCATGTCACTGCCGCCACCAACTGGATATCCTCCTCGTTCGTCCATTCGCTGTGATCTAAAGACGGATCTAAACAGTGTTGCCACCGCTTTGCGCATTCTAGTGATAAATCAGTATATCGGTACAGTGCCAACATTTTCATCTTTCGTGTCGTGTTTCCAGGACTTACGATCTGAGTTCCTGGTTTTGACCGTCTCAGCAACTAAAATCCATCGACTACCATGCTTTTGTACGCCCTCCTGCAGTCTGTGGTCTTCATTTACTCTCCATGGGCCTCTTTTCCCACCTCTTAGCTTAAACCAACGCTTACGGCAATCCTTATTAGTGCGGGTCGTTAGGGCATCGGCCACGCTAGTCCAGCTGATGTTTGCTTCAGAGCCACCATTCTCCAAGCCTGAGCATGGATGGTTAGAGATATATTAATTATTTGTATCTTGGACCTGAAGAACTCACATAGCTGCATGCTTTTTTCAAGCAGGATGGAGTCTTCCTGTGGCGCCCAGCGGCGCGGAGTTCGGGGCATCCTATAATTTGGAAAACAAGACTAGCAAAACAAGATTTCCTTCGTGTATGAATTTGCCGGTGGTGAAGAGTCATAACAAGATATAGCACTTATCCGTCCGATATATGTATTATTGGGGAGGTATGTAGATGTATGCAGAAAACAGGAAGGTGGACTCGAAATAGGTGGACTTTTTGTAGTTGTCAAGATCGTAGTTAAAGTTGATTGTTTTATGCACGTTTATGAGTCTCTCACGCTCACACCAGTCCAGCCTCTTATCTCATATGGATCTAGAATGGTTGATGTTGGATGGTCTTTGGGTGCAAGAGATAGGAAAAGTAAGAGTCGAATATAGTATCACAATGTATGGGTTGTACTTTGACGAAGCCAGCAGTAAACACAGTGCTATCTTCAAGTAAGAGGCAGTATTTTGCATGGAGTTAGAAGAGGTATTTCCATGAGTGATGCTCTTTAATCTCAGATGTAGTATTAGTATACTACGTGACGATGTCACATGATCATACCAACAGTTGTAAAATACCAACAGTTGGAAACATCATTATGCACATATACGAATGGGGCGATCCGATTCTTCAAATCATTTGACAGAAATGCTTTGGAGAAAGGAGTAACGGTTGGTGGTAACCCAAGTTAGTTAGTGTTAATATAACCAACCAATCTATCTATTGTGTATGGCCACTCCCTGCGAGGACACCACCCAATAGAACTTACATCATTTGTACTATATCCTATGTTGCATCAAGGAGGATGTTCATACCGTAGACTTTACATTATTCATGGCTACTAACTGTTCACCCTAGACATCTAGATCAAGTCAAAACAGCAATATCGACAGAAACTAATGTACCAGACCAGGCTCGCTCTATACAAGGATAAATATGACCCAATCTATCCACGCTAAGTTCTAACCCCAGATGCATTGACTACAATAATTATTACTAAGAATATATATTCCGTATTCTGCACAACGAGTCTGCAAGAAGGGGGCACAAAAACCTTTCAAACTTCTCTGATTGATAGCTATTTAAACACCTGACTAAAATAAGCTGCTAGGTATTCAATATCTAATAATATATAAGAAAAACAGGAAGTCGAAAGTATTCTATAGCTTGTGATTATAACTATAATAAACTAATTTTCTAGGTCCAAACAAAAAGTATATCTATAGAGATAGATATAGTATTAAAAGAAACTAATCTAAAAATATTTATAAAAACACAACAATTTACAATCTCTATCTAGACATCTAATTGTACCATTATTAAATAGAACTATAACCAAAAGAGTATAAACAGGACTCCGATTATATACTTAGAATCTACAAATGAAAAACTATATAAAATACTAAAAAAAGGATTATATATATAGATTTTGATAACTCTGTGACCAAAAGGGTATAAACAGGACTCCGATTGTGTACTTAGAATCTACAAGTGAAGAACTATGTAGGATGCTAAAAGAAGGACTATATATACAGGTATTGAGAGCCATAAGGGCTAGGCCCAAAAGGGTGAAAGAGACCTAGAGATAAGCATTGTACAATGCCTAGATCTAGAGCTGTAGAGCTAGAGCTCTAAGCTGTGAAAGGAAGGTCCAAAAGGGCCGTCATATCATACTATATATGTAGTATGAGCCAGTGGGCGGAAGAGAGCCGTCTGTTCTGTCACAACTAAATAGATAAAAAAGAAATATCAACAAATGCTTTTTAGGTAATATAAATTAACAATAATGCAAAATAACTTGAACCAGATGATAGAAGTATTCAAATATGCTAATATTATCGGTTTTTATATACAAATTATTAATACAGTGGAGATATCGATTTTGAAGACGAGTTTTATACCTTTTAACGAAATTCGCTATCCAATTTTTCTCTACAGAACGGTTTATTATCTTTTTCATGAAATTCTTCACTATACAACTAGTAGAAGATATAAATCTCTGTGTTAACTTGTTGATTTGATCAATTAAAGTCTCCTTTTGCTCTAATGAAAGGCACTGCCTTGTATCGGCGTATGCCTGGCTTTTCGAGGTGATTTTATCCTTATGGTGCTGGAAGAGTGTAAAACGGTTGATTTTGTAGTAATTAACTATCTGGGTATATTTAGGACGATTCTCCCTTTTGATACGATCTAACGCAAGTTTCATACAGTCCTCATAGCTCATATTATCGATTTTTGAATTCATGGTAGTGATATTTTGAAAGTGTGCACAATGCAGGGACGTGCATGATGTAAGGATATCGGTTACCCACACAGTCATGTGAGATTATATTAGGGCAATACTGATCTGTCAGAATCCAGCCGGATGGTTACTTAGCCTGCTTTATCTCCGGATACCACGCTTCGATCATTCCAGCCTAGTCAAGTTAACCATACTGTAGCTTAAATGACTGTAGAAAACATGTTAGCCTGGTAAGTTTTAGAGATTCGATATACAAATGTCTCAACCATCATGCGTTGTTAGTCACATACAGTATTCTGGGAAATAAGGTAATACAATGGAAAGCGGCCTTGCGGGAGCCGACCACTGGTCATCAAACTGGCATGCAGCCACCAACAGAAACAAATATATTCAATACAGGATTTTGGATCACATTGGTGCAAGTACAAGCCCTTCCGCTGATATTTATATCAAACTTTCCTAATGCAGGGTTGGTTTTTGAATAGGGATGGACAAACCCATTAGTAATTGTGGCAGGTCTTTGAAATTCGTTGAGTGTATCAATCAATCTTGGTCACCCCGGTTATCTATTTTTATTACGGTTTTCGTTGTGTATTATGTCTGTATTTTGGTGAGGTTTACAAATTTCGTTTTGCCGCAAAAATAATCTCTGTTATTACATGAAAGGTATCAATTGAAATCTAATCTACCTTCCACATACCCCGCCTTATCAACCGACAAGAGGTTACAATCGCCAACCAGAAGCATGTACTACTTACTATGTTGTGGCCAATTAGTGAAAGGAAGAATCGCTATCGTTGTGTAACACCGCAGCTCTCGTATCGCCGATCGACAGAATGAAATGGGCCTTCTTACTGTTAAAGAACCTGGATCATCGATTGCACAACTTGTATTCTTAATTTTGGAAAAGGCGAAAACAATATGTCAAGAGACCAACGTCATGTCATCTCCAGTACATATTTCCATCAATAACGCTCAGCAATACATTCTACAAATTCTAATAATGACAAGGTGTGATTGAAAAGCGTTGCTGATGGGGGGGTGCCAAAATAGGATCTTGAGTCAACACCTGCATAAAAGGTTTTCGAGATACGGGTTTCTGAAGGTGTCAAGCTAGTGCAATCACATAACATATATCATAAGCAGATTTAGTGCACGGTTGAGGCTGCGTAAGATAGCGACGACACCTGTGTGAAAAAGGGGTTTTTTTAAACAATACTGAATCAGTATCAAACTAACTTCCTGTACCTAGTACAAGACTTCGATATAGGAGAGTAGTATAGTGCGGAGTTTAGTTAGGGAAGGAGTTGCGCCTACGGACTGGATTTGATCATTAATATCACGTCACAGTAAAGAGAAGATTTTGGGAGAAAACAGTGTAACGCATTCTGTCGTTTCAAGATGCACGATACAGAAACCTGAATACATAACTAATATCTCGATATACTCTCACCAAAAATAGCCATTATCCTCACTTCAAGGTTAACTCTCACATCCCTCACCCTTGTTTGTTTCATACTATAGCCATCCTACATCCCTCTTCTTCTACTCTCCCTTCATATCTCGATTCCAAGCTGCCCGAAACCTCTCTTTTAATTCAGAGCTATTAAAATCTGCCCCATCTAATGCACCTAAGCTAGTAGCACCAGCTAAAAGTCCTGCTCCACCTACACCGGCGCCGATAATTCCACCTACAGCAGCGCCTCCCATGGCGGCACTTTGGCACCACGCAAAAACACTCCCTACTTCGATAAGGCCTATACTAGATTGCCAGGCTGCTGCTGTGGAACCAGCGACAGGGCCTGCAGCTGAAAAACCTACTGCACCAAGGACTGGTACTGCGGCAACGGATGCAACTGTAGCAACCCCACTTAAAACTTGGAAACCAAATCGGTAAGGATGCTTTTTGATATAGTTTCTAATGCCTATTTGAAGAATAACGGACAGACAGGTTAGACAAGTGTATGCTGTATAAGGCGAACAGAGAGGTTCTTGAAGAGATAAAATAGAGAAGAGGGAAATACTATATAGGTAAATAAAAGGGTTAAATATGAACAACGAACCTTTCTTGCGAAAACTCAACATCTCTTGTTTAAACCCTGGACACAAGCATGCTAAAATCCTTGGAGTTGTTGGTAAATTCCAAAGATCTTCCGGAAAGTTTCCTATAGCAGTGAGCCTCTGAATTTCCCTCTCATTGTCTACACTTTCATCTATTTCATGGAAAAGCTGATGACCCGAGGTGATTTCGTACAAAATTCTGCCTAATGCAAAAAGTTCTGCTCGCGCGATTCTTTCTTCGGTGGTATTAAGTCGGCCTGAAATGGCTTCTGGAAGTTGGTAGCGTGTTAGATACAGCATTGCTGATCTTGAGGAGGCTTGTTGGTCCTGGAAATAGTTATCTGCAGACCCGTCAAGGTTTAGAACAATATCAAAATTGCGGATATTATTACGATCCGGCGATTCTTGATCTGTAAAGAATAGCTTCTGTATTGAATCTGCCCATTTTAAGTTCAAGTTGTATTGACGGTTGAGATCGGGCTCCTCGCAACTCCTTTCGTTGACTGGTAGCCGAACTTTGCATATTGCTCGCTCTGATGCTATCATTTTGTTGTTCATATTTTGGGATATCAAAATGGGTGGTGTTGATAAGATTAGAGTTATGTTATTCCAGAATCCACGGTACAAGGTCATACCATTAATTCTGCTTGGATAATATGAAAGTAGAAGGATCAATAGGATAGTCATCTCTTATAGCCTTTCTTAGAGCGATTTGTATGATAATAGTAGCTGTAACAAATGCGGGGTACGATATTACCTTTTCTAAAACTTTCTACCCCGCCTATTACTATTGGATGATGAATTGAAACATAGTCCTAGCATTGTGTGGGGCCGTGTATTACTGATATGGAAAGATCAGGACGGCTTTATCGGAAATATTATCGGAAAATTCAGAATAGAGGTGATGAAATAAATGATTATATAATTGGTTGTATAGGGATACTAAGATATATTATAACTGATATAATACACACGTGAGGCGTTTATTAGCGGCGGCTCCTCTTGTGAAGTGGAATAAGTATAAAAAAATATAAATAAAAGAAAGTGTAAGTTAATGTTTTTCTTTATATTAATTTCGATATAAATAATCATTTTTGATTGAAATAGTCTCTGTTCTAACAAAATATATTAGCTATTCTTTAACTAGAAAATTGTCTTTATAACTTCTTTCCTGTTTTGACCAAATCAGTCTTAGCTTGTATTTCAGTGAATATAAGGGCTTTTGAAAAAAAAAAGAACCCAAGACAGCGTTTGTATCTAGATACAGCTCATCTCTCTGAGTGCGGGTTTGTGCAGACCGGAACTCATGCAGACAACCAGGAAGACACATACCCCTTTGCTTTTTTGATTTATTTTGTCCAGAGTAGTGACTCATACTGATGATACGGAACCCTTACTACAACTTCTGTTTGCTATCTCTACCTTAGATTTCATCTCCTATACAACAACCCAAGTAATGAATAATCTTCTCTGTCTGCAAGCCTTCTCCCCATTCAAGATTGATTAAGAGCTCTAGCAACTCCTCAGCTAGCCAAACAACCACAATAAAAAAACACTTTATCCAAAACTCCTTCATAATTTTTGGTTGAGTTCACGGATCAATCATATTCAACAAAGTAACAATATGGCCTCATCTTCCACCCTAACATACGTTATCGATCACATCTTCCTCCCGCCGAAGTTGCCTCAGAAGGATGATAATGATTTCGAGAAGGATTTGGTATTAATGAAGGAATGCAAGACTTCTTTGAGCTTATTCCAAGCCTATTGGCCTTCTCAAGAGCATTGGAGATGGGTAGCATGCGCCAAGATGCTGAGAGAGATGATCGAGTCCAGGGATCCTTGTGGAGATATGATTTCAGAAAGATTGGAAAATTCTCTTGATGAGATGAAAGACAAAGGTAGGTTTGAATGCAAGAAAAAACTGTCTACACAGCTGATTTATTTTGTAGATGCTCTCGCCTTTCAAATCCGTGGTCAGAATGCGGGATTGATTATCCGTAAATCTTTTAAACAGGTCTCATTTGAGTCTTTCGAACTTTCCCCTACCAATGAATCGGTTATAACAACGAAAGGGCGACTTCGAAGGCGTTTTCCAGGTCCAGCTATCGCTGTGGGCTTGGATAAGATTGCCGATTCCTCTTTTCGTGAAGCTCTCGCACATCTTCTTACCAACCTGGATATTAATACACCAAACGAGTCATGGCCCGTTGCAACCAAGGCAAAATCTCAGACAATCGAAGTTCGGGACACAATCAATCCTAAATTCGTTACAGAGATGCTTACTGGTATATTGCGAGGTATTGGTCAACCTCTTGATGTTACTCGAATCTACAAACGCACCCGCGATGATGTCCTCTGGAATAAAGCATTCAAGCCCTGGCGTCGATCACCTAATTGGCTTCTGCTTCGAGTCGCTCTGCAGACCAGCCTTATAGCAGACTCAAATGACGACCATGAAAGATATAAGTCATTCATGGTCTTTTTCATGGCACGTATCCTAGAAAACGCATTGCAACTTTCTCTACCAAGCGACATCTTGTTCATCATGGCTGCTAAAATCAGCCGGCGTGTGTTAAAACTCGATTTGAGGGATGACCCGCCTTGGATGAAATACATACATGGAATTATTAAGGCCACCCATGAAGAGCTTGCTAAGAGATGGGATGAATTAGAGCAGGAGACGGATCCACTTGGATCGCAGAAAGGTTGGAGCACTTCTCAATTATCGTTTGAAACAGACACACGGCTAAGTCTCTCGAACCTTCGGCCATATCTTGATGGAATACCGACTCGTCCAGCTATATCTTCGCATGGTGAGGAATACAGCCCGGAATGCACACTTCGCATCGACACGCATAGTTCGAAATTCCCCCAAAGAGAAGTCCGGAGACTCAATTCCGGGAATCCCACTCATCTGGCATTAATGGATATAGAGCTTTGGGTAAAAGAGAGCCTTAACAAGTGGCTGAACTCCAATTTATATTCCAAGAAGACCTGCAGCCTACTGGCTGAGCTGATCCAGGACTACACAAAAGCTGCAACATCTACTTATGCAAAGAGCCCTGAAGATATTTCTTTGATGCTACTTACCACTGTTGACTTATGGGTGGCCCTTGACAGGTGTGCCACTCATCATGAACCATTACTAAAACAGTACAAACCGGGGTTTCCCTTATCGCTTTTTGATCCTTTGTTGCTGCCCAAACGTGCTCAGATGGATCGCTTGGACCGTATTGAGAAGTACATCAAGAAGAGGGACCATGAATCTACATATTCTTCATCTCTCATCTTCCAAGACATTAACGAGAAGGAAAGTTTTGCTGTTCAATACTTTGAACAATCTTTTCATCATCAAAAGCTCTGTCGCGAAATAGAAACAAGTGCAACGTATGAACGCTCTCAGAAGAAGAATGAGCTAGTCAAGAAAAAAGCACAGTATCTTGACTTAATCCAACGATCCGAGTCGATGGACCATGAAGAAGTGACTAGGTGGAAGAAAAACCGTATCATCACTTTTCACCCTTCTTATTGCAAGAAATGCCAATTAAAGAATGAAGCAAACGGTCTCCAAATCGGTGTTCATGAGTGGCCACTTCCATATATCGAATTGGAGGCAAAATCAACAGTATTTGAACTTGATGTTCCTATAGTCATAAACCATTGGCGGGATATTACATATACTCTTCTTGTGGATATCTTTTCTCCATCTTGGAGTTTAGGAAACAGAAAGGTATATCATCTTCGGGATTACAAAGGGCTGTGCAACGATGACCAACTCCAGACAACTAGGCTACAGCTTGCATCTGACTCGAAGCCGTTTGTAGTGTCCCACTACCGTATCCAGAAAATCCCTCAAGCTACGGAGACAAACGTATGTGTCAACAACGGCTTGCACTATTCCTTGTATGACTCGAAATCGAGTAAATGGACCTCGGAGCTTCTAAACCGTAGTAATGTGCGGAATATCTGTACTTTTCAACTCCCATCTGGTTCTTATAAAACGCTTCAATGGACTTTGAATACAACTTTTCATACGCCAAATGAGGTTCTCGCTAGGCAAAATGAGTGCTCGAGGACGCTTGACCAGAATCAGTTCTACGCATTTGGAATGATGCGATCAGGTCATCGTCTTCAATGGCGCAATTTGGCCCGTGAGTTGACTGCTCGCATTCTCAATTTCAGCCACGAGGAAACATATATGCTGGTAGCTCAGACAGCTTGGCAGGCTGGTTGCTCAAGTACAAGCCCATGCCGTGAATCTCATATTGATCTGAAAGAAGAAGAGTTTGGGATATCTTTGCTATCCGCCATGGAAAACGTCCTCGGAACTGTGGAAGGTAACTGGCAAGGTACCATGGCAGTGCGCACATGTATAATCCTTGCAGTTCGATTGCTCTCTCTATCACCATATACAGAGGTCCAGAATGGTTGCTATCGCTTATTGGGACGAGCTCGGGAGTGTACCTTGAGATGGACCCGAGACTTGGGTGAAGTGCTTGGCGAATGCCAAAATGCGGAAGAGTCAAAGACTTTAAGCTTACGCGCGCTTGAAGTAGCTTTGACATGCCATAGCACATTCGAAGTTAAGCAGGGCCATCTCTCACAGTTGTTGAGGTCGAACGAGGACATCGCAGTCATAACAGAATGCTGTATTGTTATTCACGAACGATGTCCTGCTACCACGGAAAGCTTACCTCAGTCGTTGAAAATTATGCTACTTCAATACGAGAAGTTATCTCACTTTCTTGAGCCCGAATTGCGTCGACGCATCCTACGAGATAGTGAAGGAATTGATCGTACAATACAACGAATCTGGGCAGGATATCTTCCAAGCAACTCTTGGGCCACCTTCAACAGACCAAATGAAAGATGGCTTATGACCAATACATCCTCTGTTGAGGAAGGCTACTCCTCGAAGACTGTCCACTATAATATCTTAGACGGTAGTCTCCTAGTGGATGGATTGCCACTCACAAGAGTTCCACGGTCTTATGAATTACATGAAACTTACCGTCGATTATTTGGCGAGGTTAGTTTCTCGCACAGATTAGTAGCCGAGCTAATATATACTGCAGAAAGTGCTAGAGGTAATTCCAAGTACGATGGAAGGAATGATGTTTGAAATGAGGAATGAGATAGACGGCCAACAGGTATTTCAGATAGCTCGTGAGTGATTTATAGACTGACAGCGTGACAGGTACATTTCCAAATGTTTGGCACCGAGCTCATTATCCGAACTCGAAGACAGCGAAAAATTTGTGAGTTGGTGCCAGCTTCCAAGATGCGTAATGATTTCCCCAGGGCTTTCATTGAAGATTACGCACATTGGCTAGATATCGATACGGGGAAAATCGAATGGCGGCCGTTGAGACATGCATGGACTTCTTGCTCGAAAAATTGGCAGATGCGTGTTGACAGACGTGAAATTTTGGTATTAAGTAACGGTAGTCAAAAGATGATCGACATTCACAGCGCCACGGCTAGAATCATCTCAAAGATTCTTAGTCCTCTTGAACAGGAAACCCATATTCACATAGCATTGAATTGTGATACGAAAATACTAGAGGTACAGTTGCCGCGATTGAAGCTTGACTTTTTTCTCAAGGACGCTCAGAGCTTGCTCGAGTCGAAGCAATTTCGGGGGATGGTTGTGGATAAGAATCAGTCCATTGGAGCATTCACTGGACTGGTAAATAAGCTTGTTTTACACCAAGCTGACCAAACATCTCGATGTGTGCTTGTGCCGTATGGTAATGTGTCTTTTACACCTCAGGGCCACCATGTTCAGGTCACGATTGACATGACTCCCGGACTTGAAGTGAAGTACCATTCATACCAGCTTGACAATCTGCTTGGACGTCTCGTAGGCAATGGAAGCCTTCAAAGTCGACTATTCAAAATTTACCTTCACGCTTTAACATCACACTGTTTGATCGACCGGCTCACTAGACATACGGGTACAGAACAAGCTCTTCATGATCTCGCTGGCGCTGCAACTCGATCATTTGTCGAGCTTGAACCTGTTGACATCGAACTCCTGGAAAAAATTGCACAACTGACCCCGCAACGTCAATTTTATCCAAAGTATTTGCAAGTGACGCAGCAGGTAGAATGGAAGCTGTTGTCTCCACTTTCGCAGCACTGCGAATTTCACGAGCAAGTAATATCAATCCTGGATCAAGCCAAGTCATTCCAGATCTTTCAAGAACACCGTATAACACTACCCAGTCTGGGTATACATAGCAAGCAATTCCTTCGGGAGAGGGCCGCAATTCGAGAGTCGTCGTTTCAGGTTCATGGATTTGGCGCTGTTGCTTTGACTGCTGACGACGATAAAATTTATGATGCACGAGATCAGTGTATTGATACAGATCGAGAGCTTCGTACCTGTCAGACTTCGAGACTCGTAAACGATTGGTCTAAAGAGCTCGCGGTATGCCCACAGTTGCTATCCAAGGTTGAGTCATGGACCGGACCACTCAAGGGTCCCGAGTTCCATGATTTGATACTAGGATTTGATCTAAAGTGGTTAGAGGACCCTACCGGATTTCTACCAAGTTACTGGTGCACTCTCCACAAGGTCCTTTCCCAGAGTGTGGTTAAAAGAGATAAGTACAAGGTTATGGTCCTCTTATCTACCCTCTCATACTCCCGCTACGCAAATCAAGAGCTTATCCTAACCCTCCTGGCCTTTGCAACCTCACCAAGATTACGGACGCTTCAACCTCCACACTACCCAATGTTTCAACTCGTCGATGGTTACGAGCCAGTGGAACAGAAATTAGTAAGCCTGGCAGTAAACCATGCACGAGACTTTATCAACTGTCCCGAGTACAATCTGATAGATCTCTTTGGTGACAGACAGCAGGAATATGAAAGAGCAATTGATGAGCATGCGAGGATATTCGCGAGAAATCTCATAGCCCAATGGCCTACGACAGATATATCTACACCTACTGAAGCTAACCTGAACACATACATTAAGGTTCAACAAGCAGTCGAAAGCGCATCTCTCCACTTTCAGAGTTGGCACCGGAATGCAGAGTTCCAGGAATACATTCAGCAAGTCCAAGCTATTCTAGATGATTTAAATCCCAAGGAACAACATCTACAAGACTATTCCATCCCACGAACAGTTGACCAGTATAATTTTCGGCGTCCCTATATAAATTTCGATGACCTTATGAGTACAGAGGCTCCTCTTCTTCCCATCCCAAACCCAGAGAATTTTGAAGAGTGGATGATCCGAAGTACCAGAGGATCTACCAATCAAACCAAAATCAAGGAGCTACTTGCGAAAATTTCTTCTAATTGCTCCACTATGCACGAGGAGCAATATGCCGCTGATCTAGCCAAGAGTTTAGAGGCGTTATCCGAAGAGAGCTCTGTTAAGTTGAAAGACGTGCAAAATTTGAAATCGTGTCTACAAGCTTACTTCATACGAGCCCGACACTACAAAGAAGACATCTACAACAAAATTTGCGAGAACTTGCAGACTGGTTTGCACCCCTTTCTTCGAGAAGCTCAGATGCTGCCTCGCTTGTCGCCGATCTCAATTCTCTCACATTTAGCTAGAGGTAACGTTACCACGCTCCCGTGTGATTGGAAGATGATCTTGGTGCAATATGGGCTTTCCATCACATCCTTTCAATATGCAAAGCGTCTTCTCGCATCTACTAGGAACAAGGTTGAACTCTTGAGCGAACTCGAGAATCCTGGCCATCAAAACTGGAACCCAATGCAACATCCTCAACGGCTTCTTCTCGAGATCGAAAGTAATATCCTGATACGACAGCCGCAGGCTGCAATTGCTCAAGAAATGGTTTCACCATCGTCGGGATCAAATTCTGTTATGCAGCTGAATATGGGACAGGGAAAGACGTCTGTCATTGTTCCACTTAGTGCCGAAGAGCTTGCAGATGGAATAAAACTCGTTCGGGTCATCGTCCTTAAGTCTCTTGCAACTCAAATGTTCCAGACATTGGTGGAAAAACTTGGGGGTATGCTAAACCGACGTATCGTCTACATGCCAATCTCTCGGTCACTCAGTTTGAATGTGCATCAAGGACGCCAAATTTGTCAGATGTATCGAGATTGCAAGGAAAACGGATCAATTCTTTTACTTCAGCCAGAGCACCTGCTCTCGTACGAGCTGATGGGGTTCGATCGGCTTCTCTCTGGTGAATTAGAGTTGGGCAAAATCCTGATTGAGTCCCAGGATTGGCTGTACGCAAACTCACGAGACATTCTCGACGAAAGCGACGAGATCTTAAGCATACGACGTGAGCTGATATATACCATAGGTGTACAACGTGCTATCGATTTTAGTCCAGAGCGCTGGAACATAATTCAATATGTTCTAGAAATGTTAAGCCTCTCCGCAAAACATGTCCTCGAGCAATTTCCCCATGGTTTAGAAGTGATCCCGTCACCACCTGGAGGACTTCCTCGACTCCGAATACTTCAAACTGCGGCGGGAGAAAAGCTTTTAGAAAATGTTGCACGTCAGCTCTGCGAGAATGGCCTGAAAGGAGTGCCTGTATGGACACTTTCTGAAAAACTCAAAACAGCCTTGTTCATGTTTCTCACTGACCCGAGCCAGAGCGCATTATCTTTAAATGTATTACAAAAATCTAGGTTTTGGTCCGAGTCTATAGGCAGTAGCCTCCTCCTTCTCAAGGGCTTATTTGCTCATGGGATTCTAAGATTTGTCCTTGAGCAAAAGCGATGGCGTGTAAATTACGGCCTCGATCCTTCGCGATCTATGCTTGCTGTTCCTTATCATGCAAAAGATAGTCCAGAAGCCCGTTCGGAATTCAGTCATCCGGACACCACGATCGTCCTGACCTGCCTGTCTTATTACTACAGTGGTCTTTCGGATCAACAGATTTATTCAAGTTTTGCAGTGTTGCTTCAGTCTGATGATGCCCAGGAGAAATATGATCGGTGGGTAGAGGACTCTCCAGAATTGCCGGGCCCTTTCAAACATATCACCGGTGTCAACCTAAGCGATGCTGGACAGTGTTCACGAGAGCTTTTCCCGCCACTACGATTCTCCAAAGGTATCATCAATTTTTATCTTTCAGTTCTTGTTTTTCCTAAAGAGATGAAAGAGTTCCCTCACAAACTCTCATCTTCCGGCTGGGATATTGCCCGAAAGAAAAGTCATCCAACCACAGGCTTTAGCGGGACAAATGATAGTAGATATGTGTTACCACTATCTATTGATCAACGCGATTCGCCAAAGCAACTGTCGACGAATGCTGCGATGCTGGATTGTTTGTTACGACCTGAAAACTCCTTTATAGATATAGAGCAATTTTCAGCTACAGGTGTTCTCGACGCTGAAGTTCTCTTGGGCATAATTTCGAATTTGAGACCTCAAGTCCGTGTCATCATTGACGTCGGGGCTCAGGTTCTGGAGCTAGAGAATGAGGAAATGGCCAAGGAATGGCTATCACGAGTTCCAGAATCCCAGGCACAGGCGGCTATCTTCTTTGACAATCGAAACGAGATCTGGGTTCTAAGCCGCGACGGAAGAAAAGAGCCTTTGCTAATGTCGCCTTTTTCAAAGCAAATGGATCAATGTTTGGTATATCTCGACGAATCCCATACGAGAGGAACGGATCTGAAATTACCCCCCAATTATAGAGCCATTGTGACTTTAGGTCCTGGTCTTGTCAAGGATCGACTTGTTCAAGGTATTACTTACCTCTACTCGGGATACTGATTTTACGCTAACCGTAGTCAGCATGTATGCGCATGCGAAAGCTTGGAAATGGCCAGTCAGTCGTATTGTGCAGTTCGATGGAAGTTCAACGCAAGATTCTCGAATGTAGCGGCAGGACTAAAGGTGATATTGAGATAGTCGATGTACTGAGATGGAGCGTTAGAGAGAGTTGTACACATACAAACAAGATGATCCCATTATGGGCGATACAGGGTATGCGACACCAAAATCGTCGTTTAGTCTTTACAGGGTCATCAACAATTAAGGACCGTGTGGAAAGAATTCTTGAGCCTGAAGCGCAAACCCTTCAGCAAAGATACGGCGATGAAGATACACGCTTTGAGAATCCAATCTCGCCAATTACCACCAACGATTTGACCGAGGACTGCGAAAAACAGATAAACGATATTCGTACCAAGTGCAAAAAATTTGAAGTTGCCTCTTTAACTTCAGCAACGTGCGAAGAAGAACAAGAGCGCGAGCTTTCTCCTGAGAATGAACGTGAGCAGCAGGTTGAGTTGCCACCACCATTGACGCCTTGCCCCCACATTATCCATAAAGATGTACGGCAGTTAGCAGTAAGTGGTGTGCTGAGCCGATCATCCAAAGCTTTCCTGCCAGCCTTCCAGACTCTTCGCAGTACCACTGCTATTCCCTATTACGATTCAGCGTGGCCTAATGATTTGCTGGTAACGGCCGACTTTGTGAATACAGTTCAAGCTGCAGACACTCAGCCTTTGGACGATTTTTTGAGACCAGTACACTGGATTGTGAGCTGCAAGAGAGGGAGCATTAGGGACTTTGTAATACTGAGTCCGTATGAAGCTCAAGAGCTCTTGCCATCAATTAAGCAGTACAAGAAGACAATTCTGCACGTGTACTCCCCACGCCTTTCTGCATCGGTTCCAACCCTGGAAGATCTCAAATTTTGTGCTATTCCCTCTGTCCCAGCTTCATGGTCAACTCCTCCTATCTCTAACCAGCTTAATATTTTCGCCGGTCAGTTATACATCCAAACATACGAAGATTATCTATCGCTCTGTAGCTTTTTGGGAATCTGCTCTCACCATCTAGACAATAAAGATATGGAGATCGGACACGATGGATTCGTGAGTCCGGAATACCGAACCAGATCTTCCTTGACCCAAGCGTGTCCCTTCCGAACTAGCCCTGTACCATTTGTTAGGACAATTATGATGTTGAGGAGGAAGGGGCAAAGTATTTCCTTTTCACATATGGGTAGAATTTTTAATGGAGAACTGATTGTGCAAGATCAATTCTCGAGATAGTAACAAGAATTGCGATTGTAGAACAGCAATTAAATCGAGAGGGAAGTTGGTTACAAATTGAAATTGGGAAGATAGCAGTTCGTTTGATTTAGTGGCGATAAGGCCACTGCACGCACAATGCTTTTCGTGTTTTATGTGGCTTGATAGCAGCAGTGGCTGAAATTTTGATACGTGTTCGCATGTACAGGAGAGATATGGGGTTTTCTGCTTATAGGATATATTAGATGAACCAAAATTCCATTATAAAAATAGATTTCACAGAGTGAGTGCCAAACATGCACGCGTCTGCTGATTCTTCCAAAATGGTCGCCCTGGCCAAAAGCGAAATTCATTTAAAATATACAAGATAGCAATGAGATAAGGTCATCCGGGATAATAATGGTCCCGGTAGTATTACGGCAGGAGAGGTATAATCACTACTGCTTAGTCCCGGTCTTTTATCGTTATAGTTTTCGAGCTATATATCAGTCTTATTTATCCCGCAATCCATTATCCAGGTGGACCGAACAAATGCAACATACCTACCTATTTACTCACTCTCTGAACACAATGATTGGTTAAGGCCCCGTTTGCCATTCCTAGATTAAACCGGGCTCCTCTACTTCTCTTCAATCTTTGGTTTTCACTATTCGGTTAAACCGCTCCAAAACGTTGGTGGATGGCATTGCACCTTTCATGCGAAACGAGGTTTGAAGATATTATTGATAGATATTTGTGAAGTGGGAGCTGCCTAATTCAATTCAGTAGCTTTTCTATGAAACTGCTAAAGTTCATAAACAAAGCTATAGATTAATGAGATAGAGTTTCAACACTCGTCTAGACTATCATCACTGTTTCCTTCCCCCAGTTCTCCTCCTTCACCTCCATAAATACAGCATTTGGATTAGTTCGCTCCATGCGTGGCTTCTTATACAGACCGAGCCGCGCAGTAATTGAAGTTTCCATATTCTTTATTTTGATATATAATTCAGGCGATGCGTAACTTGAAGGACTAATATACCGGAGTTTGAGTATCCCAACTCGATGATATACATTGATGCCATTTCGAATATCACCAGTAGCTTCCAATACAAGTAAATGTAGCAAACCTATATCACCAAACATCAACAGAACACTAAAATGACCTCCGGGTGGTGAAGAGCATTTGTGTGGAACAATTCCTTGACATTCCTTCTCGACGATTTCAGAAATATGTTGATATTCTACGAAGGAGGAAGGTTGGTTGCTGGGGAGCAACGACTATATAGAGGAGGTGAATGGCCTGAGGCCATCACGCACTAGCTAGGAACGGGTAGTGAACCCGTGACAGTACCCGCTCCCTCAAAACTCCGTTTGTCCTCAAACGACCATTAAATCCTTATTCCAGAAAATAAAAGTCTGTATCCTAACCCTTAAGCAAAGCGTACCTTTCTATCCCTCTTCGAACGTCGTAAAGAAGTCGTAAGTGGCGATGCAGCCACCGGCAAGACTGATTTAGCTTCTGGGTGAGCTAGAACCCAAGCCGGTGGTCCTGGTTTCTCAGGGTGTAGTCGATGGTATTCGACCAACACCTTTTCATTGCCTTTTAGGTCTTTTGCAGGTTGCCAGGTTGGTGCGTAATGTTTCCATTGGACTAGATAATGGTGTCCATCTTCATCATGGTTGTCTAGCACTCCCTCAAATACCCATTTCTGAACTGGTTCTTCCGCATCGTCGTCCCTCTCTAGTATCCTGCCCGAGTCGTAACTGCTTCCAACTCGTTAACTGTCGCCTGGCCTGGGAACCGTAGGTTCGCATTAGCCGGAATGAGCAGAGAATGATGAAATACCGGAAAGATCCGAACATTCTCTGGTAGCTTAACTAAGCAGGAACGGGGATAAGTCTTGATAATCTCGTAAGGGCCAACCCACTTATCGTCAAGCTTCTTCGTCTTTCTCGAGGTCTTCATGTTTTTCGTATTGACGTAGACTTTTTGGCCTTCAATATACCGAGGTGACTCTGACCGGCGGCGATTCGCATAATCCTCATATTCTGAGATAGCCTGCTTTGCTAACGCGCGAAGCTGATCTAGAACACGTTCCATTCTATCGGCTGTCTTGTTCCCCTTAAAGAATTCGCGTTTCTGCGATGTCTGGAGGACAGGGCTTGCTAGGTTCGACGCCGATACTAGGGTTGAACCCGTAGTTAGCGAAGAAAGGAGAACATCCAGTTGTCTCAGAGATTGCGTTATTTGATGCAAACTCCGCTAGCGGCAACCAATTCATTCAATCATCTTGATGGAAGTTAACAAAAGCCCGTAGATATTGCTCAAGGATTGAGTTTATTCGCTCCGTTTGACCATCCGTCAGCGGGTGAAGAGCAGAGGAGTGCTTGAGTGCAACTCCCAACCGCTCCGAAAGTTGTGCCCAAAATCCCGAAACGAACTGAGTACCACGATTGGAGATTATATTGTCTGGTAAACCGTGGAGTGTAAAGACCCTGCTGATAAAGAAATCGACTAACTCCTCAGTTTTCAAAGATCTCATACCAATAAAGTGCCGCATCTTGGTCAATCTGCAGACCACTACCAGAATATACTTACATGTAGAATCGTAATGTTTACTGTCTGGAAGTGGAGTAATATAATCAATCGAGATATCCGACCATACCCTGAACGGTACAGGAAGAGGTTGTAGGAACCCCGGGGGTGAAGCTTTTGATGACTTAGTCCTTACACAGAGTTCACACGCCTGAACGTATGCACCGATTTCCTTGTGCATCTGTGGCCACCAATAATTCCGTGAGACAAGGTCGATTGTCTTAGTGCGGCCGGGGTGCCCCGCAGGACCTGAAGAGTGTGTCCTGAATATAATCTGAACTTTCAGCTCATCATCTGGAGGCACCCAGAGTTTATCTCGAAGGTATATCCTCTTGTTATGGACGCGGCAATCTTGCATAGTAACCCGAAGTATCTTTCTGAATTCCTTCGGCCAATTGGTCGTAAATAGATCTTCCAAAGCAGCTATCAACTGTTTTGCCATATCGGACCTATTATATGCAGCGTCGATGATGTCATCTATAGGTTTCTCGTTCAAAGGTGTCATTAAATTCGCAGGGCAAAGAGATTCTGAATTGGTGAGTTTCTGATACAACTCCACATCGAACTTGTCGAGAGAAAGCATAACGCGCTCTCTGTTTCTTAAGAGTTCATCGTCCGGATTCGAAGTGCTAGACCGGTCTTCGCGTTTACAGCTCAAAGCATCGGATCGTATTGCCTTCGCCCCCGATACACAATGCGAAAATTGTACTAAGAAAGGAATTCTGACCATTGTACTTATCTCTGATTCAATGCTTTTGTAGTTATAAAAAACTCTAGATTCTTGTGATCGATCAGAATCTGGAACTCCTACTGAGAACCTTGGAGTTCTAAATACCATTCCTCTATTGATTTGATTATAGCCAAAAACTCTTTGTTATAGATCTCGTAATTATATTCTATAAACAAATGTTTTGAAGAGAAATACACAACTGATCTCAAGATATTTTCCTTGTTGTATTGGGAAAGGACTCCATTCGAAGTCCAATCTAATACATCTGTTTCCAATATTGTTTTCTTATTATAATCAAAATATACAAGTACCAGAGCTGTTATAAACACATCTTTTAAACCCTGAAAAGCAGTCAAATACTCACTCCCCCAATTCCAAGAAATATCTTTTCTCAAAAGTTTGTTGAGAGGCTTATAGATCTTCGAGAAATCCCTTATAAAACACTAATAAAAATTAATAAAGCCCAAAAAGCGCTGCAGATCATGTACCATAAAAAACTGCTCCCAAAAGGTGATTACGGAGACTTTATCCTGGTCCATTTGAATCCCCTTAGTTATTATTAATAAGATCCAAATATTTAGTTGAAGTAGTCTTGAATTCATATTTATCAATATCGATTTATAGGCTAGTATTGAGCAACTTTTGTATAATGGTGTGGATATACTCCTGGTGATTCTTTTTGTTTACTAAATATATCAAAATATTGTTGAGATAAGCAGTATAATATTGTTTAGTTTATTAAATAAAATATGGTTAATGTAATACTGAAAAAACGCTGATATATTATACAAATCAAATAATATAATTAATAACTCAAAAAGTCCAAAACGAATAATAAAAACTGTTTTTTACTTGTTGTCTTTAGCGATCCGAAATTTGTTGAAGGCAGCAATGATATCAAGTTTTGTATAGACTTTAGTATTATATAATATATCAAAAGTCTCCTGAATAATAGGCAAAGGGTATCGATTTTTTATGGTAATATTGTTCAAGTCACAGTAATCTTGATAGATTTGTATTCCTTCGCCAGACTTGGCTACAAAGAGTAGTAAAGCTGTACTTCGCGATCTTGACTCTTTAATAAAACCTTTCGAGAGATTGTCGTCGATCCACTTGCGAACTGCTTCAAGTTTCAATGGTGATAAGGGACGGTTCTTAAAATAAGGAGGTTCCTTCCCCGGCATAAGCTCGATCATATGATCCCAGGCGCGGCGCGGAGGGAGAACGTCTGCGTGTCGTGGCAAGAAAGCAGGGAGTTTGTCGTAAAGCCAGTTTGGCAGCTGTTCGCGAATCTCGTTATCACTTAGAGGGGGCTTGCCGGCGAGGAACTTATCAACGTCCGCGGAAGAGATATTGCGCAAGTGCATTGGTCGATAGCAATCATAGACGAAGTCATAAAGCCCCGGCGAAACCTTGGCTAAGGCGTCTGAAACTCTACCTTCACCATGCAAAATGTCAAAGAAATAGTGAAGGAACTGCTGTTGATCTGGCTTGATTGCAACGTAATGCATCGCGGGCTTGATCAAGCTCCTCCCATATTAATCTAATCGCTTTAACCCTATCTTGTTGGCAAAAGAAGACAAAGCTCGAAGCCCGGAGCCAACGGATATCAGTGAGATCTGGGCTTTCAAACTACTATTTCTCGATTGGAACAGGGACGGAAAGCAGCGGAAGTGAGTCCTTTTTGGGTTTCGGTTGAAGTCGGCGGCTTCCTGCAGTCTTTTGAACTGATTCATAGTGCGAAGGTCATCAATTAGGTATCATTCTCGCTCGTGTAATAGATCCACCCGAGCAAGCCTTTGTTTGGTAGTGATCAATCCCTGGGTTAATGTTTCATTGATCTTCAATTCATTCTCTGTTTCGGGAGATGCGGATTCGTATCCTTTGTTTGTATCGTCTTCTACATAAGATAAGCAGTAAAACAGATTGGTTTTGTTTAACAGAGGCTTTTCTTGTACCGGAGAGGGAATGGTCGGCGCTAATACAGGTTGCGTAGCGTCCCAAGGGCAGCAATGCGAAGAGCAATATTGAGAGCTGAACAAAAGAGTCATATCAGTTCAATTGATATATGGATTATAGCATTGCAGCCAAAGTAACCCAAAAATAACAGATGTATCTGGAGAAAGCTTTGTAACAAAGAACAGCCAAGTCTTTATATGTAGATCCATCGCAATATTCATTACGAAATACTCAGTAATAATATCCGCGACTTTAACATCTGCAAGTCGAAGTTCACGGCGGTGAGGTAGTGGCTGTGTCACAATATTGCAAGTTTGCACGAATGAACGATCAACAAATGCCTTCCCTGAGTACCCACTGTCGATCAAGCTAGTCACATTAATAAAAGATTGATACACAGGAAACATAGTGGTTTGAACAAGTAAAGATTTGCTATCTATAGAACTAAGCTGCAAAGGCTCACAGCTATCGACAGCGTATCGTATCCACTCATTTCCCGAAGACCTCCACGAGCGACTTGTCGTAGAGGTTAAGCATTTCCCTGCTCCGGAAAGAAGCCAGACGAGGATGTTGTACGCGAGGTTGCATTAGAACCACTATCACTTGGTGCCAATGACTCCTCCTCGACATATCCTTGGACGTTATTGAGCTGGTATAGTCGTGGAAATCCCTGATTCTGCGAGTTGGGGAATTGATTATAGTTTCGTTGACCAAAATAACCATTGTTCTGCGGGGGTCGACCTTGACTTCCCTCATAACCGGTTTGGGAGCCGCCAGCTTGGAAGCCGCCTCGGGCGAGTGGGTTCTGGGGGCGGGGTTGAAAACCTTGGGGACGTTCTCCAAACCAATTGGGGTTGCATACTTTGGGTGCATTGGCGGCATTATAAGAGTTTCGCAAAATATCGGCTTGCTTCTTGGTGGTACAATCCCAAACGCGATGACCGGGTTCTTTGCAATAATGACAAAGCCCCAAATGACGTTCTTGCTCCTTATTAGTCTGCTTTCTTGCGTTAGCGTTGATAGCATGGAGATCCATCGGGTCACCAGCGGCAGGCGGGGCCGGGGCTGGTTGGTGATGTTGATGCTATCCGAAAGCAAAGGTTGAAGCAGAAGTAGGGGTCTTCGAAGTGCCGAAGTAATGATTGTTTTCTCTGATATTTTGGCTCCAAACTTGAAACTTCTTTCTCCAGCCGTCGACGTCGTCCAAACTGCAGGGATTGGCATCCTGCTTCACCATAGCCTTCAAGTCATCCGTGACTTTCAGCTTCATTGCCTGAACCATATCCCGCTTTGTCTTATGACACAAATCTCCTAGATACTCCAGCATGGTGTAAAAGGACTGAAAATTCATCTTTTCGGTCATCTTATGGTTGTCGAACTTGATAGCAGCCTCCCGCTCGATATCTACAGAAATGTAAAGGTTATCGAGCTTGGCTAGGAAGGCGTTGGCCGTAAGGTAAGGGGAGGTCCCATCCAGGATATTCTGGACATCCAACGTGCGTTCTCTTCGAACAGCACCGTTCATTAAAGAGATCATATGAAAAAGCTTTTTCTGCTCGTTGGGATATACGAGAACTCGTGACACATTCATTTTAGCTTGCAAGGCTTCCCCGGTGAGGTCACCAAAAAAGACAGGTTGTGCACCATCTATATGGACTACCAATCAGGTCCCTGGAGGGTAATATTGATAGGCATCGCATTTTAGCATACGCCAATAAACCTCAATAGCACCAATGTAGCGCTTAGTTAGATTCTGATTAATCCCAGCTCTAGCATTCGAGTCATTGACATCTAAAATAACTCTATCCATACTTTTAAAGGTGTATTTATGAATATATTTGATAACTAAGATAGTAGCACAAACCTCAACGTTGATATAAGCTTTATAATTCATGAGCAGATAGGGATTATATGGTACTACCTAAGAGTTATTCATCTCGATCCCCTCTTTACTAGTAATATGAGACTTTCTGATATTCCAATATAGACCGGGAGTTCAACGGTATAATGGATATGCGTCCCCATTCTCAGGGATAAAAGTTCGTTCTTGATAAGTTTTTGGGAATTTTTTAGCGCATGTGGATACGGCCCTTTTATTTTTACTATATATGCATAATACTTGGGTTTTATGCTCACCGTAAGGGCCATGAATTATATGCTTTTTAATTAAAGATGTTAGCTCTCCTGTTGGATTTAATTCAGGTGGAGGAAGCTCTGTTAAGATCACTTTGTCCACCAACTCTGGTTGATCATATAGGTATTTGGCCCGCCGGACATTAAGAAGAAGGTGTATATACAGGAGCCCTCGTTTTTGATACTCAATTGTTATAGTATAACTGAGATAGTCTCCAAATATACCATGTGGATGTTTGAGATCTTTAATTATTGTTTTAATCTTTTGCCAGAACACTTGTACATCAATATCGGACCGATTTTGAATAGTTTGCTCAAAAAGCAATTACTTTTTAATCTCAGGCCAATATGTATTATATATAAAAATAATAAAGAATGATAGTTTACCAGTCTTTTTAACAATTATTATTACATCCTGATATATCTATTATATATTGTATTCCCTACCGGTATAAGAAAAAGGTAAGATCATTTGTTTTCCAAGATCGATGGCATTCGCATTTCCAGTTCTTAATGCATTAGCTAAATTATAGTAAATATCAGATCTCAATTTATCTTAATTATTCTTATAGAATGAAAGACGGAAATCTTCGATGGAGATGTACACATTTACCAAAAATTGCTGAAAGAGAGATCCAGCATAAAAAAGTAGATTCAAATTTTGCAAATTTTGCATTATGACATCATCACCCATTATTTGAACACCGTGACAAATATGAGTTATCCATCTGTACCAATGATTTTGAGTTAAATTAAGTCGAGTACGATATGGATTAGTTATAGTTCTCAACTTCATGCTAAAGTTCTATTTAGGCTCCCCCACTGGGAATAGGGTAACATAATGGAGTAGTATAAATAATGGATGAGTAACATGAATAATTAATAAATGATTAGAGGGGATCTTTATCCTTTATATATTGAATTTGTATATACTAAGTACTATATATATCTTTAGGATTTTTGAATCTATTATTATAAACCTTATCTGGGATAATAATAGTAATCTCAAAAGCAGATAACAAATTATAATATCCAGCATATTCTCTTAATTGTTTTTTAATTATCAATTACAATTGATTGAATACTGGTTTATGCCTAACCTTCTTGACAACTGATTTTTGATAATGATAGTAATGCCCATAAATAGTTATTATATTTTCTAGCATTTTTTCTGAACTCTTTGCCCTTTTAATCTTGAATGATCTATAATCTCATTATTAAATCAAGAGTTTTAGGTAGAGACAATTGAATATCATTATTAATGCAACATTTTGCATTCCAAGTTTTTGTAATAATGACTTCAATCTTTGATCTAATAGATTCCGATTCAAAATGTATTGCCCTGCAATATTGACAGACTTTATCTATCTTATCAAAAGAATATAAAGAAGGAGAATTTATATTATATATCTATTCAAGTAGGGGGTGCCTTATGTATTTGCATTCCCAGTGTTTGACAGTCTTTTATTATCTTTACTATTACTATAGGTATTGCCTTGTTTGATAATATTGAAGGAGAAGGAGAAGGTAAGAAAGGTTTGGACTACAGTTCTTTGACTGTTTGAACACTTTGGATATGTTGAAGTTAGGGGACTAAAGACTGTTCAATAATATACAGAGGGTTTATTCGAATCCTTTGAATGCAGGGTAATCGCATTACTCTCTCTTTATCTCTATACATTTGATACATTCTTAATTGTTTTCATTCATCAGTATGTGTAGGTTTAAGGAATAAAACGAAATCGCAAGGATGAGTATAACTAAAGTATTATATAAAAGGTTAATTATTTATTAAAGCTGTAAATATAGGATCAATATTAGCATCTATATTGGTAATATGATATTTATAATTGAAATATAGTATTCAATATAAGAAGATAAATAAATTAATCAAAAGAAAAGAATCTATTATTATATCCTTTGACCTACCTTATCTTTATAATTTTCATTAAAGAAAGAGATATATTGTAAAGTTTTTAAAACAGAGAATTCTTCAAACTTAATGATTTAGTTAGATCTATTTAGTAGAGTTTATATCGATTAATAAGAAACATATATATATCAAAAACTATATCTCAGATCTAGAATATTTCAATTTCGATACAAAATAAAACTTCAAATAATCAATTACTCCTGCAATTCTATCTTAATAATAATAAAGATAACACTATTTGAAAACCTTCAATTAATAATATAATATTATTATTTCAAATTCAATTTCAATAATCACTTTAATCCTCTGTGTTGAACTTT